GTGGCTGTAACCTCACAGAGAGAAGCTGTGAGGCTCTTTCCTCAATTCTAAGTTCTCAGTCCTCCAGACTGAGAGAGCTGGACATGAGTAACAACAACCTACAGGACTCAGGAGTGAAGCTGCTTTGTGTTGGACTTGGGAGTCCACACTGTGTGCTGGAAACTCTCAGGTTAGCTGATTCTTTGTTTTAGAAAATGTGGGTATTTCACAACAACTGTCGTTATTTTATAGATTTTAAGATGTTGTTTCTGTTCTGATGTAAGCTCTGAAAGAGAACAGTAGAAGTGAAACACACACTTCACAAATCAAAAAAACTATAACTTTATTTATGATTTAGTGTAGATTTATTCCAAACGGCTCTCATATTTTCGAATGTGTAACATACAGACGATTTGTCACATAGCATCGGTATGTTACGTTTTTGGATGAGAACGTGTCCGTCATAGTAAAAAAGACAGAAAATAATTATGTTTTTTGTTGTTTTTTTTTTATTTGAGTACAGAAAAGCCAGTTAGTGTGTTTTTAACAACTTTAACTAGAATCAGAATCTGTTAGTTCGACTGTACATCATCAAATTCAGAGCAGTTCCTAACAATGATGTGACATGTTGTATGTTTGAAGGCTGTCAGGCTGTCAGATCACAGGAACAGGCTTCCCCTCTCTGGACACAGCTGTGCGCTCCAATCCCTCCTATTTGAAAGAGCTGGACTTGAGCTATAATCATCCAGGAGACTCAGGAATGAAGCTTTTGTCTGATCTAAAGAAGGATCCACATGTGAAACTGGACATACTCTGGTAGGAAAACAGGAAATACAACTGGAAATATATTTTTTCTCCAACATATTGTAACAAAGAGCAGATATTTTGAATTTTTGATTTGTTTAACCCCAGTTATGACAGGTGCCTTTGTGATGGTTCTGGGTCTGTGACACAGGGTTTTGAGGGTTTTTTTTTTTTTTTTGCTGCTTCCTGTTGTGTACCCATGTCCTTTGTGCTCCACACAGTCACAGCCATACCTCCCTGTTTTTAGTCAGACGAGGCGCCAGGGTTTCCATTTTCACGAAGAAGTCATCTGTAGGTGTGGGCACACCCGGGGAACACAGATTAACAGAAACTAATTGATGAGACAGGAAGCAAACACACATGAGATGAGGAACTTTCAAAATAAAACAGGAATTAAGAGTATACTGACTGTGACAGAGACACATGAACCTGACCGAGACAGAAAGGGAGACAAACATGGAGACAGAGGAATACAAACACAAAGACAGAGACTCAAGGAGTGACACAGGGAAAGCAGGGAACAAACTGAAACTCCAGGAATCAAAATAAACAATCACTATAACCAGGAATATGAAAGAGCAGAAACAAAAATAAGCACAACTGCATAATAAGTAATGAAGAAACCCAGGA